TAAGACTTCAAGTAAAGTGTAAAATATTCTCATATTATTATGTCTAATAGCATAATTATGTGTAGCTTTTTATATTTCTGTTTGTTAAAGCCTTTTCTAGGGACATAAAATGCAAATTACGCTATAATCTCTATGTAAATACTGTTCCTATACAAATAAATCCACATTCAACAAACAGATAAACACGTAAACCATTTATTATAACATTTAATAGAAACAAAATACACCACAGGTCAAATCTTTTAGGTCAATTCAATTTTTAAATATTTATACATGTGTTTTCTAGAATAATATATTTTACGTGTAACTTTTTCCTGCGATGGAAAGCTGAATTTTCAGCATTATTCATTTCAGCATTAGCAGTCATTACTCCAGTCCTCAGTGTCACATGATCAGAAATCATTCTAATATGCTGATGAAACATTTATTAGTATTATCATTGTAAAACAGTTGTGCTGTGTAATGTTTTTGTGGGAAGTGAAATGCATTTTTTCAGGATTCTCTGATGAGTAGAATGTTCAAGAGAACAGCATTTCTTTGAAATAGAAACCTTTCGTAATATTATAGTTTTTAACTGAACTGTCACATTTGATCACTTTAATGTACCTTTGCTGAATAAAAGTATTACCTTATAAAAAAATCGTAATGACCCCATATTTAGGACTGTAGTGTATCATCCACTTATGTAGTTCACCATTTCTATACCTGCATGGTGGTGTTGTCCACGATCATGTTATCAAATGTGATTTCAGGATATCCAGCCGCCACCTCTTTACAGCACCGCAGGAAAAGGCCATCGCCAAGCTTCATATGAAGCACAGAAAAAACAATCCTAAACTAATTTGAACTTAATATGCAGATATGCTAGTATGAAGCAATGTTTTTGTCTGGTGATTTGGCTGAAAGTAAAGCAGAGATTGACATTTTTAAGTAATAAGTGACTCTCACATGATATTAGCCTTATGTACTGCCGTGACCTTGCGGCTGCCTTTCTCTCTGGCCAAGTTAAAGGCATACTCAGAGATCCGCAATGAATTCACACATGTTATGATCTTCAGACTCTCCACCACCCCGGGAACATTCTGGAAGAGAGGAGATTTAAACTTGAGGAATGAGTGTAACTGGTGTCCTAAAACTATAAGAGACCAAAACACTTTGGGCCTCGTGCTCCATGCTGCTGTACTTTCCTTCTGTATTCTCCCTAATAATGAAGACATCAATGTCTTTGTGGCGGGTTGGGACTCCAGGAAGAGACTGACAGTGCATGACGCTAGCATACAGGTCTAAAGATGTACTGTAGGAGAGTTAAAACCATTAAAATATAAATTAAAGGTGGGGTAAGCGATTTTTCAAAAACGCTTTAGAAAACTGATTCGGGGGCAAATAGCAAAACAAACTTGTAGCCAATCAGCAGTAAGGGGTGTGTCTACTCATGATGGGGAGGAGAGAGTGTTCAGTGCACAGGACGGACATTATCCGAGCCGAGCGACAGAAAGATAGAGATGTTAGATAAAAAACAAAAGAGGAAAACCTCTGCGGAACAAAAGAAGGCTTAAGGCAATAAGGCAAGAAGTAGGACCCGTGTAAATATCGGATCAGCTTTCCAGCGCTGGAGAGAACTCAAGGAGCGGAAGGCCTGTGATCGGACGCCGAGGTTGCTTTGCTTCTTCTCAATAGGTGAGTAACACCGTGTCTGAGCCGTAACAACTAAAGTCCGTCTAGTAGACTGGACGCGACAAAGCGACTGTTGAAAATCAAGAACGCAGCAGCAGTTTTCTGTCGGGGATTTGTCGTGTCGTGCTGCGCCGCATCCAGTGTAGACCATAGATATGAATATATATCTATATGGTGTAGACAGCATCACTGATTATGAGTTCTATAGTATTTTGTCGCTCCGCACCGCTCGCGTCCGGTGTAGACATGGTGTAACATTGGTTTTGCTTTGTTTCACAGAACTAATCATTGCCTGGGCTGCGTACGTATGTGTGGGGTGAACTCCCCGAAATAGGGCGAGACCCTTTTGGGGCAGGGGCGTGTTTGTTTTGGTGATTTCAAATGTCAACATTGGCTACCAGAAATCGCTTACCCCACCTTTAACCCTCTGGATTTACACCAGATAATCAAGTAAAGAAAAAAAAAAACACATCGAAGATATCTTACCGAAGCAAATTGTTCCTGGATTTATGAGATGGAGGAAAGGTTGTGTTTAGTCTCTATGTTACCTGTGAAAGAATCTTGATTTATACTTTATACAGTAGGAATGACCCGCAATTAAAAGGAATATTTCACCCAAAAATTAAAATTTGCTGAAACTTTACTCACCAAATCTTTTCCAATGAAGAAACAAATTCATCTACATCTTGGATGACCTGAGGGTGAGTAAATATTCAGCAAATATTTACTATTCCTTTAAATATGATAATAAACTTATAACTATTTGTATGTTATGGCCGATAAGTTAAGTGGTGATATTAACACTCTATACCATTTTGTCTAAATACATTAAATTTAATACAGTGAATTTTGGCATAATATACATAATTTTAATTAATATTGATTTTGAGATTTGCTAAAGATTGAACAGTGTTATTAAATTATTAGTGTTTTTAAAGGTCAATTTTAAGTGACTTTGTTATATGATGACAAAGGTAATTTAAATGTAGAATTAGAGGAAATAAATAATGAAATATCCAATGTCAACCGATAACTGATATGGTACCAATATATTTATATAACTAATATGCAGCAAACATTTCTGTGGTTGGTGAACCATTTGTTCATGCTCACCCTTAAGTGCTACTTTGAGATTAATGCATCAAAATACAACACTAGTTTTATATATTCTAGCAAAACTCTGATCCAAATACCTGGAAGTGACCTTGTGAATATGTTTACTGTTGCTTTGTTCATTGTATGTTGAGGTATCGAAATATCAATCCCAGACATTACATATCTACGCACATAGTTTGCAAAACCAGTACTCACATTAGTCTGGTCTTGGTGGGTTGATGAATCAGAGGGGGTAAACTGCAGTGGTTAGTCAGAGAGAGTCAAATCCATTCTGCTTTGGTTATGCTTACACAACTCAGCTTTCAAGCAGAAGTGGAGGAACAGTGGAGATGCATTTAAGTGCTTAATAATTCATTAAGATTTCATATTAACTACAATGAAGATGTTAACCAAAGTATATTACAGGCCCTAAATTAAAGTAATGTCGGATGAATAGGGAGTGAGGTGACAGTAAAGGGCTGCAGGAAAAGATTAGTCATGCTGTAATTAGTTTTCATGTAAATAAATCATCAAATGTAGGGCAATAGGGTTAAACATTATGATAAAACAAGCCTTAAGGCCAAACTTACAGTATATTAAGATTTCTTCCTCTGACAACACACTGCAGGGCTTTTTAGCTGTCATTATTAGATAGCAGAGAAAATGAAAATTGCATAAGCAGTGTTCTCTTTAACTGGTGCTTCAGAAAATATCTAATTCTAAACATTTTCATAATTTGAAACATAGCCTGGCATGTTCAGGTAAAGTCTAAAATATCTCAATAAATGCACTGATGTGCACCTGTGAGTAGATATTGACCTTCACTGTCACACAGCGAGTCAGTAAGGGCACCTTTCCCCGACCTGACTTTACGAATATCTGTTTCTATATTCTGCACACGGCACACTAAATGCGCTTGACATTTGTTGACTGATATTTCAAGCGGAGGCTTACGTTGTTTGCGGTGCTGTTTGAGAAGAGGACGGGCGGTGCTCTGGCTGCTATGGGCATTTCGGATTTCCAGCATCAGCAAACAAACCGAAATAAATGCCGCCGTGCGCTCTGCTCGAACCCGCGGCGCTCTTCACAATCAGCCGACACAAAACTCAGGAATTAACTTTTATAACCAAACACTTTTACTTTGGCGCGCTCTAGTGTCGTTTATGTGTATCTTTTTTGTTGCGCAGCCAACCCGTTCAGAAATAAATATGGTCAATTATGGTCTGCCTTAGGCTAACATATTTATGTCATTTTCTTTATTTTTACACAGGAAAAAAAAAACAATGCTTTTGGTTCAGAAGTAAGATACTGGCCTATTTGAAAACATGTACCATTTATCTCTAATTCAGGGATTTAAAAAAAATTATGTTTTGATGGCAAGGTCTCCCAAATATGATGCTATTTGGCTACATATTTTAATAAATAAAGAGCCATTTGTACCATGTGAAAAAAAACATTATAAAGTTCAAATGTTATTGTACTGAAGCCAAAGAATGTTATTAAATATGACCTGGGAAATATTTATGATTGACTGTGTTACATGTTCTTTCTACATGCTATTAGGAAATGTGTTATATATTAAGTTACAGAGAAACATTTTTAGTTAAATTCTTATTTATTTTAAAGCAGTTTTACAGACAATGTGAGAAGAGGTGAACACAATATTTAAATCAATAAATATTCCCCCCCACAAATCTCTATGTAGACTTGGCTTTGATTTCTTACTGACAACCAGGAGTGTGCAAAACACAAAATAATCACTGAACAGTCTCTAGTAGAACGAAAAATGAAACAGTAAAATAATAATAATAAAATGTTTGGTAAATGTATTGAAAATGTTGTGGTACAGATAACTAATATCTGACAGCCCTTAAATAGGCATTTACATTTGTAACATTTTTCATTATTTTTCCTTCTCTTAACTGCACAGCCCCTGGTATCCGCTTGCGGTCCACCAGCCCTAAATAGTTTATTTCAACACTAACTGAGAACTTCAGAGACAGTGATTTTAATCTAGCTTTTCCAACTCAATACATTATCCCTATCAACTTTTGAATGAACCGTTCCTTTAGGATATAGGTCGCTCCCTTTGCTGTACTGGTAGTTGTAGTCTTTTACTCTATAATCCAGATACCCATTCAGACGGAAAAAACTACATCCCCCAGTCACCGGGTTAATAGCTCCTCCCACTTTCCTCAGCTCGCCTGCCCTCCCACTTTCTGTCGGTCCGCGGGGAAGTCGCAAGATGGCCGACGTCGCGTGAAAGTATGTTCCTCTCCTCAACATGAAGTCGTGAGTGAGACAGAGAGCGAGGGAGTTTACGTCGGGCTTTTGTTTTTGTTTTATTTTAGTTGTTTTACTTTATTTTCCCCTTAATTATTCATCTCATTCCGAATCGCGGCAGCACCCGATTTGTCTCGACTAGTTGACGCGTCAATCACGCCGGGATCTTCGCTAACTGGCTAACTGCGCGAGCTAGTTTGTTAGCCACAAACTGTAGCTCTTTATAACTGTTAACCAGTACAGGACATAGTGTGTTCACTAGCAGCTAAAGTTAGTTTGAATTACCTAACGGTCATGTTGGATAGCAACGGCGTAGTTGTTGTTTAGTTTGCAGCTAGATGGGATACAAATAGGATTATATTGTGATGATACCAACATTGTCGACATCGTAACTGTAGCGTGCGCGCCGTTATCCTCCATCGTGTGTGCACCGTGCAACACTGTAATTGATCAACACAGAGAGACTGTAGCGGGATTATAATATTGACACAGTAAGGAATGGACACAGATTGCATTTACACGACCAAACGTACAAAATAGCCGCGCTTATCTGGAATTTTACAGGGGGTCGGTTGACATTTGCATTTGTGGGATAATTTTACCAGACATTTCAGCTCTTTAGTTATCCAAATATAACCGGTCAGATCTAGTTCTGAGCACACAGCCTAGAAATCAACTTCTTAACACGGTTCATCCATCTCGCGCGCTCAGACACAATATGGGAGTGCAAGGGTTTCAGGAGTATTTGGAGAAACGCTGCCCTGGGGCGGCAGTCCCAGTAGATCTTCTCAAGCTCGCCCGAACGGCAGGCCGTCAGCCCCCACACCACCACCATCACCACCACTACCATCCCCATCATCCCAGCTCGCTGCCTCCGCCTCCCCCGCCAGCGCGCATTCTGGTTGACGCAGACTCTGGCCTTCAGCGGCTCTACGGGGGCTACCAGACCGACTGGGTTTGTGGAGGCGAGTGGAATGCAATGCTCGGCTATCTGGCGGCGCTCTCCCAGGCCTGTCTGTACCAAGGCGGACTGGAGCTGGTGGTGGTCTTTAACGGCACGCTTGGCAAGGATCGCTGGCCGGAGTGGGCGCGGCGGGCGCAGGGGCAGCGACAGACCGCACAGCTCATCGTCAACCACGTCGGAAGCAAGGCCACGCCCCCTCCGCGGGCCTGGTTCCTGCCCCCGGCCTGCCTGAGCCACTGTGTCCGCCTCGCCATGTTCCGATTTCGCGTGCGGGTGAGTGGCCTGATGCCCTCTTCGAGAGGAATTGTGGATTGCGATGTCCTTTTAGCAACTTACCTCCGTTTCTACATTTAAATGTGGAGACATTCTGCCAATTTGTGCTGCAAATGCATTGTCAGTTTCAGTTATTTGTTTCATTGAAAAAATGTTGGGAAAGCAAGTAAAATAATCTTCAAAATCATCCATTTTCATTAAACCGTGATTTTAAAGGTGCACTCCTCCCTCGTCAAAGTTTTACACAATGCAATAATTCATATTTAGATTTTTTTTTTTTATTATGTACAGATGAGACTCCAGTCAAAACAGAATCTTAATAAAAGATGTTTTATTTTGCATGGAGTGGGTCTCCTCATGAAGGCTGCCACGTTATGATCACATGACTAGCCGAATGCTCCTTGATTTATCTTAGTAACCCTCTGACACTTTTGCTTAAGGAATAAGTTAATCATGGCTGACAGTCAACAGTGGATTTCTAGCTAATATGTGTTATGAAGTTGTCACAATTTTGGAATTTGTAACTTTGATACAGTACCTTGTAAAATACTGATATTCAACACAATTTTTTGACACTACAGGGAAAATTGCTGCAACACTTTCCACAACATTCAAAGTATTTTCTTGTTAACTGAAATAGGCCTGTCACAAGAATCAATATATCGACTTAACGGGCAATATATGTACATGACCGCAATAATTTTTGGTGACGCAATATATCAGCCATTATATTTACTTAAAAATTAATTAGAAGATTAATGTCACCATGTTTTCTGCATTCCACTTACGCCTGTGTCTTTTGCAGCTTCTCGTACATAACGTGGTGTAATCAAATTTACAGGTGCTAGTTCAAATTTAAAAAATGCTTCTACAAAAATAGTTTCATCTGCAGATATGGCCTTGTTTAGGGATCTGTGCCTTTGTGCATACGGACATCTGACTGTTAAGTAGTGATTATGTTTTTCAGCAATAGTGTGCACCCTTAATTTACAGAGAAAAGAAGGTCAGGGACAAATCTGTAGATGGAAAAATCTCCATACAAGTTCTTTTGTTCATTTTTCTACTTGTTACTTAGCACTTTTTGTTAGAAAATGTTTATTTACTATTTATTCAGGTTTTTTAAGGTATCTAATATTTTGATACTTAATTTCCATGATCTAAATATTCTTAAAAATTAAAAGTTTGTTGTCATTTGGAAGTGTGTAGGCCTTCTTGCATTATTATGCTGTTACATTATGATTAGTGATCAACCGATATAGATTTTTTTTATAACCGATACCAATTATTTGCATGTTAATGTGACCAATAACTGATATGCAGAACCGATATTTATTTACTGTTATAAAGTAAATAAATGACTGTGTGAAGTAAGAACATACTTCACTTTGGTTTTTACTTTTTTCAGTCATCTTTTTTTTTTAAGTGTATTTTTAATTTCATGTTAAATTTAAACTTCATATTACAACAATAAAAAACATTTTATTTATAAAAAGCATCAATAGCAACAACACTAATATTAACAATAAGCAAAATAAATGTAGAATTTCTTATGTTTTCAAATGGAGAAAATAAATAAAGGACAGGAGTCATATCAACTTAATTTTAAACTACAGTTTTAGTAGGTTTATAAGCTGTTTAATAGCTACAGAGTCAAGAATAATTCACTGGATAATGTTAATTCACTGAATAATATTCTCTGGAATATTGGAATATAACAAACAAAACATTGTATTTTATTGCATTTCTCAACTGGAATGTTATATCAGAATTAATAATGTTTTTGTCCTTCTATATTATGAAATGCCTGCTGACAGCACGGTTTATCTATGCAGTTACACAGAACTATACTCAAACTGCGATCGCTCGTGGAGATAATAAATAATAAATTAAATCTATGAAAACTCTGTTACCTGGAAGCGAATTTGTGTTCATTGCATTTCTGAATTACGTTTAAATTCAAATTGCATTAACATGTTGACAAGTTTGTAAGTAACTTTTTCAATAATGCACATAAAGAGAGAAATCAATATCACAAATTTTCTCGACAAAGACAGGAATTTTCCTGAAAGTATTATATAATATAATTTTTTTATAGATTTAGTTTTGTTCAAGCCACTGTCTGTCATCTAGACTAGTGATTGACCGATGTTGATTTTTTTTATAACCGATACTGAAACCAAATTATTTGCATGTTTATGTGCCCGATAACCAATATGCAGAACCGATATTTATTTACTGTTATAAAGTAAGAACATACTTCACTTTGGTTTTTCCTCTTTTCTGTCATCTTTTTTTTAAAGTGTTGAAAATTAGCAGTCTTTCATGTTAAATTTAATCTTCATATTACAACAATAAAAAAAAAATGTATTTATAAAAAGCATCAACAGCAACAACACTAATATTAACAATAAGCAAAATAAATGTAGAATTTCTTATGTTTTCAAATGGAGAAAATAAATAAAGGACAGGAGTCATATCAACTTAATTTTAAACTACAGTTTTAGTAGGTTTATAAGCTGTTTAATAGCTACAGAGTCAAGAATAATTCACTGGATAATGTTAATTCACTGAATAATATTCTCTGGAATATTGGAATATAACAAACAAAACATTGTATTTTATTGCATTTCTCAACTGGAATGTTATATCAGAATTAATAATGTTTTTGTCCTTCTATATTATGAAATGCCTGCTGACAGCACGGTTTATCTATGCAGTTACACAGAACTATACTCAAACTGCGATCGCTCGTGGAGATAATAAATAATAAATTTCCATAGAGTTGTATTTATTTAGATGTTTATTAGTGAAATAATGGCTATTTAGTAAATTTTTTATACAATTTAGGGTGTTTTAAGTGAATCTTGTTAAAAGTTACATGCGGTGGCCGTGCTGGAGCATTTCCTGAGCATCAACCACATCAATCCGCTGCGTGAACAGCAATATGAAAGCGGCTTCACAAGACTAATGATGAGCAAATATACAACAGAGAGAGAATTAAATTCAGCGCTTTTATTTCCAACATGCGCTCGTTCATGGCTGTATTATTTAACTCATGCAAAGTTACGTCTTTATTGGGAGAGGATCTTGACGGATTATCTACGTGACTTCGACTTCACGAGACTAACGATGAGCATAGACAACAGAGAGAGAATTCAATTCAGGGATTTTATTTCCAACATGCGCTCATTCATGGCTGCATTTTATTTAATTTAGGCAAAGTTAAGTTTTTATTGGGACAGAATTTGACGGATTATTTTACATGACTCTGTGAGTTGGTCTCTATTTCTTAGAGCCAAGCTGCATAAACTACATGTCAGCATTTATGTAATGCATCTAATTTGTGCATAAATGGCTGTTATGTTAAATAAAGTTTACTAACTACAGCAAATCAAGTACCCGCACGCCTTTGTTGTTGTCTCGTCTCCCCTCAGACACGCTGCAATGGCGATCCTGCGTGCAATTCTCAAAACTCCCACAAGATGGCGGCGTTTATCGGTGAATCCGATATTACAAAACCGATATCCGATTATGGTAAAATGCTAAAATATCGGTAAATCGATATATCGGTCGATCTCTAATTATGATTATTCAGTGGCATAAAATGGTCTATAAAATGACAACAATATTGCTTATCGCAATTATTTCTGGGGCAATATCAGGGCTCTACAGTGCGACCATTTCAGTCACATTTGCGACTGAAAACTACTGCGTGCGACTATGAAATAATATTTAGGAGCACCTGTGCGACTGACCCGATCAGCATATTTGTGTTTGCGCTGAGGGAGCTTCAAAGGTTCTAACGTACTTACGTGTTTCTGCAGCGGTTGAGTAATGATATATCACAGACATATCCTCTCATTATAACAAACAAAGTGTTGATGGGGTGTAAATAAGATATTCATTGTGCAGTGTAGGGAGCTTCGTGAATTATAATGGCGTTTTGTGAGATCGCGATGAACTAAGATGAGTGACAGGTTTTAATGATTATTAAGGGAGTTTGTAAATGTGAAATTGATTTAATACAACAGTTCATTAAACAAGAAGTTAATATTAAGTGACTTATATTGTCTGACAGCAACACAATTGCCTTATTTTGCTCTATTTCGTCAACGAAAATAGTTTCAAACAAAGTAACAGCTGAGCCCTGCACATCTCCATTCAAACACAGCGGTGATTCGTTTATGAATGAACTGCGTTTTTAAACGAATCTAGTGAGTCAATGATTCAATTACCCATTCATAAAGATGGTCACGTACTTCGATCCTGAATGAATCAGCCGTTCGAACAAATCAATTAAATGAATGATTCAGTGATAAAATCAGTGACTTGCCGACACCTGCTGGCAGTTTTAGTTTAATTTTTAAAATATCTTTTATGTTATTTAAATCATTTAATATTTCTATATTCAAAATGTTATATTTAAAACATTAACCTCAACATGAATTTATGAATTTAATTGCACTCATGTGACCTCTGAGCCTCATTAAACATCTGAAAATACACTTACAAGCCACTTGTGTGTTCTTCTGTGCCATCTCTGTAGCACAAATTTATTTCTTAAATACTGATTTAATTTTATTGGTAACTTATTCTTATTCTACTTCTTTTTCTACTTGTTTTTATTCTGTTGTTTTAATTAGAAATGTTAAAAAGCTTATAAATATATATATATATTTTTAATTTGACATAAAAGATGACATACTTTTAATAAAGTTAGAAAAATGCCATTACAAAGGTAAAAACAAAATTCCCTGTAAATCACTTCGAGTCAAATATCACCTCGTAATGGGAAGGGAAATTTTTTTATCAGAATTTTTGATTACTGATTTGAAGGTGCGCCTAAATTTTTTAAATTAGGAGCACAAGTGCTCCTAAAAAGAAAAGTAAGCATAGAGCTCAGAATATATCGCACAACAAAAAGTTGTTATCGTGACAGGCCTAAACTGAAACTCTGCTGTCCAAGATACCTCAGTCCTGTAGAGTAAGATTACATAATAATAACATAAGACAAACATATTATCGGCCAAATTTTCTTATCAGGCCGATACCGATAACAGAAAAAATTAGCATTTATCGGCCGATACCGATATGGTGGCCGATATATCGTGCATCCCTACATATTACTATTACTAATACACTGGAACTGTAAAGTAAAAACAAAAGAACATTTCTTGAACAGTATATGAATTAAAGTATCTGTGGCCACAGGTTTACAAAGGCTTCTCATTAGAAATTAGTTTGAAATGCTGGGATTATCTGTCCACAAAATTGTTGAAAATTATGCAGATGTACGTTTAACTCAGAGCACAGAGATGGAGTTTGCTGCGTTTACTTTGAACCAAGCCACTCGCATGTAAAAACAGTGTTGCATTTCACTTTGAAACATGCAACAAACTATATATTTATTTAATTAAAATACACACTGCTGTTTGAGTCAATTTGATGTCAGAGCTGGTACCAGTGTATAATTGCTGCAGAAAATGAGTATTTCAACTGTTTCAAATATTCAGAATTGATATGTATAAAACATTTTTTATATTTTGACATCACTGATGTGTTAGTATAAATCCAAGATGACTGTCACATCAGCCAGTGCAATATAAAAAGTAACTAAGTGCACCTGGATGGTCAAAGTGCTGTTTGATCATAAATTCAGAGCAATAGGAGCTTGTATATCAGTAGATCACAAGAATACATGGTCTCCTTCCACCCTGCTTGTGTTGTAGGTGGTGCAGACCCTGGAGGACCACCATCAGGAGGTGCTATCCCTGTACAGAGACTATGGTTTTCAGGGTCTGATTGCACAGGACTCAGAGTTTGCGCTATGCAACGTTCCGACATATTTCAGCTCCCACGCTCTCAAGCTCTCCTGGAATGGCAAGAATCTGACCACTCACCAGTACCTGCTATCAGAGGCGGCTCGCCAGCTCGGCCTCAAGACCCAGCACCTGCCCATCTTTGCTGCTCTTCTTGGTAAGCGACACTGCAGATTTCTGGTCCAGGATGTGTATATTGTTTGGTTCTAAATGTGGGTCTTTAAAAAACAGGTAACCACATTCTGCCAGATGAAGACTTGGCTGCCTTTCATTGGAGTCTACTAGGCCCAGAACACCCTCTTGCCTCCCTAAAGGTGCTTATACAATATGTCATTTCATACATTTTCATTCTTCTGTATTTGTAATTTATGACATAGACTTAAGCATCCTTGAGCATCAGTTTTATCAATATAACCCATTCTTTTAACTTTATTCTTTGTTTTTCCTTTCTCTGTTCAGGTAAGGGCTCATCAGTTAGTGCTCCCTCCATGTGAGGTTGTTATTAAGGCTGTATCTGAGTATGTGGCATCCATCAAAGATCTTGGGAATTTAGATTCGGTGGCCAAGGATGTTTTCAAGCAGTCACAGGTGAAGCATTGGCTGTGTTAATATATGCATTTCATGTGCTTCTTTTTTGCATGTTTAGTGTTATTACCTTAAAAGCTCATAACATGGGGACTGTGCCATTTTTCTAACCTCCAGTCACGAACCGAAGATAAATTTGAGAGGTTTAAGAAGGCAGTGGAATATTTTTCAGCAGCCAGTAAACCAAGACCTCTCTCCATGGGACCTTCTCCTTACCTCTGTAGGTATAATGTAGTGTTTGAAGTCCATTCACAGTACATACACTACCATTTCAAATGTTTTCAGTAATGATGATATTAAGAAATGTTTAATGATCACCAGATCAGCATATAAGAATGACTTCTGAAGGATCATGTGACACTGAAGACTGGAGTAATGGCTGTTGGAAATTCAGCTTTGCCATCACAGGAATAAATTACAGTTTAAAATATAGTTAAATAGAAAACAGTTTTAAATCGTAACAATATTTTACAATATTACTGTTTTTACTGTATTTTTGATTAAATGCAGCTTTGGCAAGTGTAAGAGACTCCATTAAAAATGTAAAGTAAAAAAAAACAAACCTTTGAATGGTAGTGTACGTTTATTTTTCACAGTTTAGTTTTCAGAAGCCATAAAACAGACTTTGACATCAATCAGATTATACTCCCACAATATTAATTCGGGTTCCTGACTCTTCTTTCAGTTCCAGGCTTTGGGCCTAGTCAGTTTAGCGGACCTCCAGGCCATTTGGGGGCAATGCAGCCTGTACAAGCTCAGGTAATTTTTTTTTACTCCTTTTCAGTGTAGTGCTGCAAATCATGTTTGTTTTCCAGAAACTGATTTCAGCCGATCTCTTTTTTTGCTGTTCTCCACAGTTTGGTCCACCCCAGGTGTCAGGTATTAAGGTGCCTTATCCAGGGGGGCTCTACGGACCCAGCCCTGCCACTGGTCCGGCCCTTTTATGCCAGAACCCAACTCAGCCTCTGCAGGACTGTAATGATTCATTAGTTGGGAAAATGGGCTTTGCTGATTGGTCTGCTCCATATGATTCCTCTCAAAGTGGCAGCCGACAGCCCAATCATCACACTGCTGCTCCTACAGGCCCCTCCCCCTCATCATCATCGTCTTCAGATGGGGAGGAGCAAAATGACACCAGCACTAAGTGAGTCCATATTGTACAGAATCTGTTCATTATGTTGTATACCTGCAAGCAATCTGCTATTCGGAGTAGAATGAATATTCATTTTCTGTCATAGTCATTTGGCTGACAAGTCTACAAGATGGGAAGATCCCAGTGGACGGGGTGGCAGTGGCTCTGGGGACGGGCACCATGGTAACGGAAGTGGGCCGTCCATTCCATCATTGCTGTCCATGCCAACGCGGAGTCACATGGACATCACAACTCCACCCCTTCCACAGGTCAGTGCCGAGGTGCTGAGAGTGGCAGAACACAGACACAGAAGAGGACTCATGTATCCACAGATCTACCACATCCTGACCAAGGTACCACAGTCACACAGCATGTGCTCACAAATTCTGGGAGGGTTTCATCCCTAATATTTCTTGCTGCCGAATCTTCAATAGCACAGCCAAATAAATTACTTTTTACTCAAGTCCCGGAGTTTTCACTTTACGAAATGAACTCTAAATTAACATGTGGCTCAGTTTTTCTTTTCAGTCTTTTTATGCATTTAAGATCTAGGGCTGGGACAATAAATCGATGCATCGGGATTCGTGGATTGATTCTGAGATTTTCTGAATGCATCGTGATTCTCTCTGGAATCGATTCTGAGCTTAGTTTTTAACAGCAGATGGCGCTCTAGGCTAGTTTTTAACCGCACACTCAAATGCTCACGAAGAAGAGTGCTTGTGCATTCGGCTGAGTAATGTAAGTGCTTAAATTTACTTGCACATCGGCTTTTATGATGCGAGATTAATTTAAACAGCCCACTGTAAACATCCTTGTAATTCGCTTCAACCTTTTCGAACTTTATGAATGATTATTTTAGGTTCAAGTGGTGTGTGTGTGTGTAAGGAACTGGAAGCAAGCAGAATACAGCTGTTTCTGAAGCACGCAGTGCCATCTGCTGTTAAATCTAAGCTCAGAATCGATTCAAGAGAGAATCACGATGCCTTCGGAAAATCTCAAAATCGATGCAGAATCATTTCTCAATTTGCGATGCATTGATTTATTGTGCCAGCCCTTTTAAGATCAGTATTATTACTTATGTTTATGTGATGTGTATTTCAAAATGAATTATAAACTTCAATGTTTAAATGGTAGTTTAATAATAGTATACCAAAATTTGTTTACATTTATGGTGACAAATGCCCTGTCAGAGCTCTAACACTCGTCTCTTTCACTTTCTCTGTTTTCCCTTCCCTTTCTCTTTATTTTCTGTCACCTCCCAGGGGGAGATGAAGATGCCAGTGTGTATAGAGGACGAGTGCAACCCCGACCTGCCTCCTGCTTCTCTACTTTTCCGTTCTGCCCGCCAGTATGCCTACGGGGTGCTGTTCAGCTTGGCTGAGACCCAGCGGAGGCTGGAGAGACTGGCCATGCGCAAGCGTTGTCCAGTTGACGGTGAGCATAGACCTCGGTTCGATTAGATTGTACAATAGCATGCATGTTTCAAGTGTTGTCACAATAGCTAAAAATCAATAGCTAATACCAATGCCAGGCAACTTTTGAGATTCTCAATTCTAATTTCAGTACCACAGCAAAAATGAATGCACCATTCAACGTTAATATTTAGGTAAAAAAAAAAGATATATATATTTTTTAAATATTAAATAGTTACATTAAAGGGGTCATATGATGCGATTTCAATTTTTCTTTTCTCTTTGAAATGTTATAAGCTCTTGGTGCATAAAGAAGATCTGTAAAGTTGCAAGAGATAATCTTTATAAAAGTTAAGAGTCAACCACACCTACCTAAAATGTCTCGTTCTAACACGCCCCCACATGTCTACATCAAGATGTGGGAAAATTTGCATAACGCCACCCAAATGTTCACGTAACGAAGAAGGCGTAACTTTTATTCTCGCTGTAGTATTGTTGCTGACGCCACCACCATTTCGTGAAGTTGTGTGTTTCGTTGTGAAAGCGAAACTACTTTGTTTGGCCTTCCAAAAGAGGACGATATCCGCTTCGCCATGCCTGGAGCTGATCCGTGCTGGTCGCTGAGGAAATACATCAACTTCGCGCTGTGGATCACCGGATCGGCTTTCACCGTGGACGAAGCGGAGTCCAGCCCGGGGTCGTCACATGTGGTTGCCGCAAGCCCACCCATCGCCGCTCACTCAAGCCGGCCTCCGCTCACTCAAACATGGTTTTATGTTTACGCGGCGCGATGCAATGCAACGCGTAAAAAGACAGTGTAAGTCATTATAATCTGTAATTATGTCTCCACTGGATGCAACAAATGCCTCGTTTATAATGGGTTTTAATGTTTTTGTCTCGTTGCTCCGGCCGGGACAAGGTATCACATTATGGTAAGGGAAGGGGCGTAACATTTCCGTCACAAGCTTGAGGTATCCGGCCAATCACAACGCACTAGATAGCTGGCCAATCAGAGCACACCTCGCTTTTCAGACCGATGAGCTTTGTAAAAATCGACGCGTTTCAGAAAGGCGGGGCATAGAGGAGAAATAATAATGTACAGTATGTGGAAAATAATGTGTTTTTGAACCTTAAACTGCATAAACACATTTCATTACACCACATACACAAAATAATGTTCTTTTTAGCAACATCATATGACCCCTTTAAGACAATGGGCCATTACTTGTTAAATAAGTAAATTTGCTTGTTTTTCATGGTTATAATATAATAATAACAAAAAGGTATAAGTAAATATTAATAAACACAAATTGGCAGATAAAAAGTTGTAGGTATTTCTTCTCTAAACATCTCTAAATAATGAAAATATTGTCACATGTATGTCCGGAGAATTAGCTTGTGTTTTGTGTTGCTTTTAATAATACAGATATTTTGCCTAGCTGTATCTCCTCTGGCTGTGAGGAAGAAGGCATCAAAGTAAGATGAAAATGAATCCAAATGTGTCTCATTTCTGTACAACTCCACAGTGCCTCCGGTGATTGTGAAGGAGTGGTGTGCCAGTAAAGCTAAATCTGCCCTGACCCCAGAGCTCGTCCCAGCCCTGTGTTTCCGCGAGTGGACGTGTCCCAACCTGAGGCGGTTGTGGCTGGGCAGAGCGTCTGAGGACCGTAGCCGTCGTACACGAGCCTTCCTAGCCTGCATGCGCTCTGACTGCCCTGCCCTGCTCAACCCGACCTGTGTGCCATCTCACCTGCTGCTCATGTGCTGTGTGCTCAGGTACCTTGACGAGATGACATCACTGTAGACTTGTCTCTCATTGGGCATTGACATTTGAGTGGTTCTTACTGAAAGATTGGTTAAGTAGTTCAGCACTGAATCAGTAGCTTATGGAGTCTAGAACGGTATTGTGTGTTTACAGGTATATGATGCAGTGGCCAGGGGGTCGCATTCTTCAGCGCCATGAGCTTGATGCCTTTTTGGCTCAAGCTGTGTCCAACCAGCTCTATGAGCCTGACCAACTTCAGGAACTCAAGGTAAGGCATTTCTCATTAACTCTAAAGCAAACAATAGACTTTAAAATGACTTACAATACATATATAATAGCAATGAGGCAATAATAATTGGTTCAAATAAAATATCAAAAGCAAGTAATCATATGGTTTTACTGAACAAACCAAGTAAAATACATAATGTAATAAAACAATATAATCATAACTTATGTACATTATGTATTATCAAATGCCTGCAGAAGGCGACAACGGCCTGACAATGTTTTAACACTTCACAGCGTGATCCTTGTTTAACTAAACATTTCATTCAAATGTCCACTTAATTTTTAATATTTGCCCACTTCTTTTTGCTAGAAATGCTACAGCCACTGTAACGTCTTGAACAAGAACATGTGGACATCAAAACATGTAAACTCAAAGCAAGGGTTTAACTTTTATTTTGAAGTCGCGATGCACAATTAGCATATTTAGAGAGATAGTGATGTATTCTCCTGTGTTGGTATGGGTGTATAAATTATTTACCTTATAAATCTGATAGAATGGGGCACATTGTTCCCAGATGAACGTTATAAGCAACTTCACTCACAGCATATGCAAAGATGGAGTTTGAGATGATCCGCACATGTAAATGATAACTGTTTGTGTGGAGCAGCATTTACTGTGAACAGAGCACGTAACCTACATACATATAAAAGAGCGCATGTTAAACCCGCAGCGCATATATTTATTTAACTGAATCGCAACCTTTGTGAATTCACAATAGCACTATGCTTTATTATATGTTATAAGCAACGCAAACTCAGAGCAGATGCGGAGATGATTTTGTGTGGAGCAGCATTTACTGTGAAGCCTCTCTGTGACACAGAAAACACTGGATCATCAGTTGTTTACATGTAATGTAACAAAGAACATACTAAGCTAAATCACTATTTTGGTTTGACATTGCTTTATTGCAAATTGATTTTTTTAAACTTTTTATTCTATAAATGTGAAAAGATTCACAAATAATTTCATATTATTGACCAAATACTTACAATGGCATTTACTTCCGATAACAATTTAAAATATATACATTTAAAAGTATCAGCTATTCCTGACATGTTTCTCATTAAAGATTAACTTTTTACTGAGTTAAACTGCTAAAAGCAGATGGCTAGAGTTGTGGTTTGAGACTGAAGCACATTTGCATGTGTTTGCATGTTCTTATATAACTGTACAGACCCAGATTACAGTAAAAAAGCAGTGGGAGGCAGGATTGAATTGAACACTGCACACAACATACCCCATGCACTCTTTATCTTTGTATCTTCCACGTTTTGACAGGTTTTTACTCAGCTCAACTTCAATAGCTGTATGTCACAGAAGGCAAAAGGTTCAAGGCAAAACATTTCTTTAAAATAGATGCTGTCTTTCAACTGTCAGGTTGTCCGTAATCTGCTTTGAAAGAGCTCTGTGAAATCTGAAATGACACACTACTGTGACATTTACCAGGCTCATGCCAAACACGCCGCTGGATCATATTTCTTCTCTTTGACTCTGATACCAGGTGGAGAAGGTGGATAACCGTGGGGTGCAGCTGGCCTCTCTGTTCATGAGTGGAGTGGACACTGCCTTGTTTGTGAATGATGTATGTGGACAGCCCTTGCCATGGGACCACTGCTGCCCTTGGGGCTTTTTCGATGGGAAGTTGTTCCAGAGCAAGCTGGCTAAAGCCACCAGAGACAGAGCCTCCTTACTTGATATGTGCGAAGGCCAGGTAACAAACGTATAGGTGCAGGCACATTTGTTTAGTATTGTCAGTATTTAAGGGTTTTTTGTAATTGTCACTTTTTCCTACAGGAGGAGCTGGTTTCGAGGGTGGAGAAAATGCGCCAGGCCATTCTGGAGGGCATCAACCTGTCCCGGCCGCCTCCCCCACCTCCACCACTGCCACCCCCTGCATTCCTCCCCCCTGCCATGGTGCCCCCTTTCTACCCCATGCATCCTCTGTACCCTCCTCGCCCATTAGGCTCCATGCCACCTCCTCCTCATCATCATCACCACCACCAACACCGGCCCAGGGCCTTCCCAGGTTAGACCTTCCTCTCATTTAGCACATTCATTTTCTTTACTGCCTTTTGGGTGTCACTTAGTCATTTTCTGTAACTCTTTTAGGAATCCAGTCTATACCTCCCCAGGGTGGCAAGCTGGAAATAGCTGGCATGGTTGTTGGTCAGTGGGCTGGGAACAAACCAGTCCGTGGCAGAGTCAATATGCAGGTGGTGTCAGTAGGAGGGAAAGGGTGAGTCCATTCTGTGTCATAAAATAGTGGCCATATAGCTGATTATTTATGGTGGCAGGGTGTCCACGGGTCCTTAAAAAGTCTTCAAATGTCTTAAATAACGTTTTCCTAATAAAAGGCCTTAAAAAGTCTTAAAATATCTTCAGTCTGATGGACCTAATGACTGTTTACAATCACTGGACAGACAGAAGATTTTTTTTTCTTCCCCCACGGTAGTTACTGCGTCATCAGACAGAATTGCAGTAGCAGAATACAGGTCGAACTACCTTCTTTGTTTATATATGTTCTCAATAATAATAATAATATAGGTCCAAGCTACAACCGATCAGCCTTCTAGCTTAGTTATTAAGTTACTTACATTTTAGACAATATATACTGTTTTGTTCTATTTCACCAACGAAAATTCAATCGTTCCAATCAAAGATCACAGCAGAAGTATTGCACATTCTCCAAACAGTCAGCGGTGTTTTGTTTCTGAATGATTCAGCATTTTGAACGAATCGGTTGAAATTAATGAACTCAATGACTCACTCATTAAAGGAACACTCCACTATTTTTGAAAATAGGCTCATTTTCCAACTCCCCTAGAGTTAAACAGTTGAGTTTTACCGTTTTCGAATCCATTCAGCCGATCTCCGGGTCTGGCAGTAGCACTTTTAGCTTAGCTTAACATAGATCATTGAATCTGATTAGACCGTTAGCATCTCGCTCAAAAATGACCAAAGAGTTTCTATATTTTTCATATTTAAAACTTTACTCTTCTGTAGTTAAATTGTGTACTAAGTATATTTTCTATGAATTGTCTGCTAATATGAAAAGTTCAATGTATATTGTAGTAATATAATTTATGACTGATGATATTTTGTTTTATTTTTACATTAAACACATTAAATATTATATATATATATATATATATATATGTATATGTAATATAATGTGTATTTCCATCACCGGTTTAGGTCTTAAATTTCATATAAGGTATTAAAAAGGTCTTAAAAAGTCTTAAATTTAACTTGTTCTTATCTGTAGAAACCCTGTGGTGGTATTTATGGACTGCTTGTGAGGGCTCCTCTCTCTCTGCTGCACTTGATCTTTATTAACTCTCAATTGCACAACCTACTGGTGAGGACTAGTAGCAGCAGGTGTAGATTTGAATGCAGTGTACACCAATTGCATTTGTATTTCCACTAACATCTCAGTGCTATATGGGCTGATATTATCCCATAGCAAACTGTGGGAGTACCAAACTTATATATCTAATAATTGTTGATCACACATAATTACAATACATTATAATATCATATACTCCATTATAGGGATTCAGCGATTAACCGGTTTCACGATTAATCGCGCTTTAAAACGTCACGGTTAATTAATCGTAAAGGTTCCGCTAAACCGAGTGTTTCTGTTACACGGAACGAAACTGTTGCAGCTTGCGCAAAACGAAAACAGTTACACTAGCGGTGCACCAGCTTAAAATGCTGTGCTTATCAGAGGCACGGAGGCTACTACATGCATTAGATGAACTGACAGAGGGACCAAACAGCGAAGCTTTATTTCCACCAGAGAAATGCCTGTTGATAGTGTGGGACCATTTTGGGTACACCAAGAATGACCAGGGTGTCGTGTACTATGATTATTCCTCAGACAATAATCGTACCAACAAAATTTATAATCGTTGCATCCCTACTCTATTAGCTATAGTAAACATTTTAGTATATTAAACCATAAATATTTAGTAATGAATTCCAGAAACTTTAAATGCCCTTAGTTTAAAGGTGTTTCGTATTAATATTGCTTTGTCCTGTCATGTAATACTTTCTCAAGATTTATTTTTTTGCTTTATTTTTCCACATTTTTCATACACTTCGCTGCACTGGAACATGCAGTGGCTCATGTATTGAGACCATTCTTAGATGTTCAAATTCCAATTTAATTTTAACCACTGAATTTGTGGAGGTTAATTCATAAAGAAAAGCTTAATGGCCTAAATTATACCGGTCGAAAACATTGTATTACCTGATAAAGATGGTACATATTTATTTATATTGAATAAATATGAATACAAATGTGCAGTGTTTTCATTTTAAAATATTCACTGCTTAAATATACAAACATGTTAAATTGGAGCCCCAAAATATCCAATGATTTAATGTCATTAAACATTTTCATAAATATATAATTCTCTCCGCTATTGCGTACATTTTACAGTGCTTATCTGTTAATATAGAGGATGTTGTTGTTTTATATTTGTTTTTAAGCATGATAAAATCAGCCAAAATATTGTTGTATCCCTAACGCACATATGTATCTGTTCTTTTTTTATTGTTTCCCAGAAGGGGTAAAGAATTGACCGTGAAAGGAAGGGGAGGGAAGAAAGTGACCACCAACAGAACACAGGTCGGTCCAACTCTGGCACTAAACGCTCAACATTCATATTAATGTTGGTGAGCAAGGAGATTTATTTTTTTTTCCCTTTTCCCAATGTATCTCGTAGACTCTGTCCTCTTCACCACCCTCCTCCAGCCCCCCAAAGCTCACTGAGGAAGCTAAAGCGGTGGGGCGGCCCACGGAGGGAATGGGGACTGTGTCACAGCAGCTGAACGGCAGCTCTTCAGGAAGCGCCACTGGTCAAGCTCTTGACCTGCCACCACTGGCCCAGCCAATCCAGTGTGCCTTAGCCAGCAGAGACAACCAGTCAGGAGATGGTGTGGAGGTAGAGGCCCGTTGTTGCCTTGACGACTGCCCACCAGATGGTGCACTACAGAAAGAGGAGTAATTACATCCCATAATGTAATAAGAATGAGAGAGTGAAAGGGAATGATCTAAGGTCGACTGCCTTTTCCTTGCAAAATTGAATATTTAGGGCACAGTAGCCACTTTGTGTTGTCATGGTATAATTTATGATGCTGCACATGCTGGAAACGACAGATGGACAGTGTCAGGAATGCAGTCTATGTGTCACCTTAAGAGCCGGGTCTGGTTTAAAACTGAGCGAGTTTAAATCACAACCCTTGATTGCACGTTGCCCTGAATCTTCGGATTCTGGACCTCATCCTTTCCACTGGCCCATCAGTGTTGTAGCATCATGAAAAGCTCGCAAGTCTTTTTATTTCGACACTGTTTTCTTTTCAGACCTTACTACATTAATGGTGACCTTATATGTGTGAATTGCCTAAAATGGCTACAAAAAGCCCCTTATTGCCCAAAGTATGTTTGAAAATTGACCTACACAAAATGATTGCATGTCAAGTAGCACAGCAGCAACTGCTCTAAAGTTTCCACCACACAGCAAAGAATCACTTTATTTGTACTACACATGGCTGTATCTGCAGTGTACCAAGGATTCAAAGTCAACACTGCCCTGAATACAGTAGAAGAGTGGAAACTGACTGAGAATGCGGGTTGTATTTGTATGTCACAGTGTGCATTCACACAAATGGTAGTCCCTTGTTTTTTTTTTTTTTTAAATATTATCTTATCAAAGAGTGATTTGCATGTGGAGAAGTTGCTATTGTCTTTAGCACAGGGGCCATGGGCGGCCCGAGAAGTCCAGGTTCAGAGAGGCATGTTTGAGTAACGTTGAGCAAATGGAATGGAAAGATTTGTACAGGTTACACTCAGCATCGCATAGCTAGCTCTACTTTGTTGCCTTCGCTCACATGTAGACAATCTTCTTTTAGGCCCATATCCCCTTGAGGATTCACAGCAGTACTTAAGCTGCTAAGTAGTTCTAAATTAGATAAAGCACCTTATGCCCAAAATTATACATATGCAAGTTCAACCCCTCGAATGAGGAAGAAATACCCTTAAAAATTGATTGTATTGCAACGTAAAGCACTTAAAATGTTATTTATGATAGTACTGTGCTATATAAAGACAGTAAATTGATTAACGTCCTTTTATTGAGCAGCAGACCGTCATTCCTTTTGACAGTTTAACTGTCCAAATACACTTTTACCTTGCGTGTCGTTTACCAGTATGACGTACAAATCAACACCAACCCATTTGAATGTGAGAACGGAGTGAGTCGTAACCTGCACTTTGTTTTAAAACCGAAAACACACTGGGTTGTCCTCGAACCAGGATAAAGGAAAATCGAGACCTCTGGCAGAGTTAGGGAGGAAGCAGTGTGTTCGGAGAGAACTGTGATACTGTTTGACATCCCAGCCGTTTGTATATACACCCAAATGTACATGATCCTGTTACACAATGACATGATTTAGGGGAGTGATTTTATCAGTGGTCGAGAATGCGCACAGTCCCTCAGACAAACCTGCCATTTGACATCTCTCTGCTTCCCAACATTTTGGTTTTGGGTTTTAGCAGACGCAACCCCCACAACTAACCCCCCGTTGTTCACGTCTCCTCTGTGCCTTGTGCATGTGTACCATGTGGATGCTTTTTTGTACATGTGCATTCTCCCACCATCGCTAAAATCATAGTAGTTTTGTTACGCGTGAAAATAATTAATTTAACAAATCTTAGAATTACCTTTTATTGTGACAAAATCATTTAAAAAAAGTCATTTAAAAAAAAAAAAAAAATGGAGTCTGTGCTTGTCCAGACTGTTTTGTGATCAGTCCGACTCGACTTTTTGTGAGTTTCCTATGAACTCATGCACTTCTATGTTCAAAACATTACTTCTATTGAGGCGAATAGGCTTTAAAGTGAAAACTAACGAAACACCCTGATAATTAAAGCTGTACTTGCCATTAGATTAACCATTTTGCATCAGATGGTTAGGAGATTAATTTTACTTACATGTTAATGTTTTAAATGCATTTTAAAAACATAATACATGTTTTGTACCAATGATTTGTTGGACGTAGTGAATGAGAATTTAATTTTAAGAATTAAAGTACACTTGAGAGAGGCTATTGCATTTAATCATAGTTTGAGATCTGTACAATTGACAATGTCAAGATTACATCACAGCTTTCTATTGAAGTTATAAGATGCACCTTATTTTGTTAAGAAGTTAATATTATATTTAGTGCCACTAAAAATATATCGAAAGCTCTTTAAATCAGATTATGGAAGACATCCATTATAGTTACATGTCTATGTATATTCTGCAAATTCTCACTCTTGAGGAACCCAGACAGATCAACCTGTCAGAAATATCATGATGACCTGAAGCATGCATTGTTAATGCAGTTTGCTATAAAATAAGTAAACAAAAAAAAAAATGACAGTGATATATCAGTGTCAGAATATAACAATACTGGACATACCGGACAGACTTTAAACCAAGAATCTTGACTGTAGCGTGACCGGTACTATTCGTGAACTAACACGCGACACCGTCATGCACACTAGAACATTTTAAATCTCAACCTTAGGTTGTCACGTTTTACTATGTGTTAAGTACAGTAGTGCTAGTTTTCAAGAGAGGATTTCCAGCATGTTAGTGAATATGAACATGCATACGCACCCATTAATGGAATTTCGGCTTCCTCAGAATAACTGTAGATCCTTTTAAAACGTTCAGTCCTGTTAAATCCGTGATTAACAGCCATTTCAGTTAGTTGGGTTTTTTCTCAGTGTGTTTGTCATAAAGTATCAGTAACTCCTTCACATTTAGTTTTAAGTGTAATCTAAGAAAGGAACAGCATAAACCGAAATATACACACCAAATAAAGATATAATCTTTCTCTCTCTCTCTCTCTCTCTCTC